GAGCTTGACAAAATAACTCTTCAACAAGACACTGACAGTGGAATAACAGAAGAACAAATGGATGGGACCAGCAGTTAGCCTAATGGCTATGTCGCTGGACTCCCATGTAGTTGACTGTTGTTTCGAGTCCCGGACCTGGTGGTTTAAAACTCACACTAGGTGCGTGTACGTGTGTGCTCAAGATCCTGGGAGGAGAATGGAGGAGAAGGAATTGCAGTGTGGCCATCCCCCCCTGGGTGGTGATTTCTTGCTTTCTGTCTCTCTGTCTCTGTCTGTCTGGCAAGTGCACGTGCCCTATAGCAAAAACCTCTCTAAAATACAAAAGAATGAATGGAAAGGTATAGGAAGTTTTGCCTTTTGGCTTTGTATTGTGCAGAGTAGAGTACTAGAGAGAGCACAGCCTCCTCAAAATTCACTGGTAGTAAGTCAACAAATCTTCTAAGACCTCAGTTTCTTTACCTGCAAAAGGTTGAGAAAATAAACACTTTATAGGTCTGTTGAGACTGAGACAATGTCTGCAGAGTGCCTGATTTCTGGAAATTACCAGTCTAAGTTAGAACTCAATCTTTATCAAGTTCATTCTCTTATAGTACGCTATTTTTCTTTTTATTTGCCTTTGAACCAATGATATTTATATTCATGTGTTTATTTCCTTAATGTCCATTTCCTAACTGTAAGTTTCATGAGGACAAGGACAATTCTGCTCATCTCAACGCTATTTCTTTGTGGCCAGAACAGTAGGTAACCAGTAAATCTTTGCTAAATTAGTGAATACATGAACATGTAAATAAATAAATGAATTCATGAATCAATGAATAATAATATCAGTTTCTGTGCCATGATTCTAAATATCTCAGGAAAAGTCATCCCTTTTCTCTACTAAAGGGGCAGATTGCTAATGTAGGCAAAAAGTTTCAGAAAATTCAACTATAGAATTATAGGGCCTCCATGGGTCATGAGAGAGAGCACCCATTTAGTCTCCTAGAGCTGAGCACAATCATCTTTGAGGAGGAAGGGAATTACCCACATTTCCAGTTCAGCTGGTTCAAAGGTTTCACAACCCAGCCTCTTCTGTCTTGCTTAAGTCTGATGTGCTGCTTTACTAGAGTGACTTGTATTGTGCTTAGCGGACAATGACACAGCATAAGTCCCATGCTGCCCAGCAATGACCTTGAGTGGATGTCTAGACTTTCCAATAATCAAGTTGTATAATTCAATGCATTGTAATAACCCTTTTAGTACAGTTGGGGAAGAGGAAAGAAGATAAATAGATGCACTAAAAATCACTAGGCACTTGATACTTTCTATGATAGAGATAAGAATTTGGAACTGGAGAATACAGAAGAGGATATATGGCCCAGACTGATGCGATTGCAATGTACATATGGTTGAATAATATTTACAGCTTTTCAAAATATTATTACATATATTATGTCTTTAAAGTCTTCCTGTAGTCATGGAAATTGGGGAAGTATAGATCACATTCAGAGTATTATTTGTTCCTATTATGTGGGGTGAGAAATTGGTGTTAATCAGGACTTAGGTCTGGTTTAAGTGACTGTCTTAGTCTGTTTTGTTTTATTAGAACAGAATACAAGAAGTTGGGTCATTTATTTAAAAATAAATATTTCTCATAGCTCTGAGGGCTGGGAAATCCAGAAGCAAGGTGCCAGCATCTGGCAAGGGTCTCCTTTGCTGCATTATCTCATGGTGGAAGGTGAGAGGGTAAGAAGGAGAGAGAACGAATAGGGGACTAAACTCACCTTTTCATAATGAACACACTCCCAAGACCATGGCATTAATCCATTCATGGCGGCTGAGCCCTTATAGCCTAATCATCTCTTGCCATGTCCCGGTTCTCAACATGGTTGCATTGGTGATCAAATTCTGACATGTTTTTGGGGAAAACTTTCAAACCATAGCAGTGTCAGGTAGGAATTCATGGTCCAGATCTTACGATTGTTATTTTAGGAATTTTATTTCTGAACCACATTGTCACTTGTCTTTATGTTGGCCAACAGCGTGAATTGCTGTCAATATCACAATTCTCCCAACTTCTGTAAGGAGTTTCCGATGTACTTTTGTGATAGAACACGAGAACAGAATTTAATCAGAGATTGAAAAACTAAGGCCAATGGACCACATTGGTCATCACTTGCTTTTGTAAATAAAGTTTTATTAAGACATAGTCATTCTGCTAGTTTACTATTGTTTATGGCTTATTTTATACTACAACTCTATTTTAACTAGAGTTGAGTAGTTGCAACAGAGACTGTATGGCCCATGAAGTCGAAAGTATTTACTCTGGTTCATTACAGAAAACATTGTCCACCCTCTGGTGTAAATGGATGGAATTGAAGTAAGTGAAAAAAAATTTTTTTATCAAAAAAGAAAAAGAATGAGAATTGGCTTTAAAAAGCTCAGGTTAGAATTTACATTGGCTGCTTGACTGCAAGACCTTGAACAAGATATTAATACTCTCTGGGCCTGTTTCTGCATTTATCACCTTAGAAGGCTGCTGTAAGCATTCCATGAGGTAAGGTATATATATCATTTATAATTAGATTTGGTCCCATGTAGCAGAAAATACAAAATAAATGTGTCTTACACAAGACAGTGATTTATTTCTTCCATGTGGTGGTCTGGAAAAGGGCAGGTAGGCATTGGTCTGGTGCCATATGATGTTAGGAACCCAAGCCCTTTCACTCGCTGCTTTGCCCTGTGTGGCTTTCATTCCTACGGTCCTCTTATGGTTTGAAATGACTCTATATTACTGATAATAGATAATAAGAGAAAACAAAATTAAAAAATCAAATGCACAAAAGCCTAGAAACCAAGCCACCCCCAGAGGCCAGACTGCAAATCTAAGTCTAGATGAGATGAGACTCTTGCCATAGTTCACAAGGCATCCAGTGCATCTCATTCATCCCATTCCTGTGGTACACTAAAGAAGCAGTGTTTTTTGTATATTCAGCACCTAACACTATACAAAGAACTTTCATGTTGCTCTTTCTCCGTTTTTTTTAGAAAGACTTTTGCAATAGGGCACACACATTTGCCAGTGAGACAGAGATAGAGAGACAGAAAGCAAGAATCACCCCCTGGGAGGATGGCCACACAATCCCTTCTCCTCCATTCTCCTCTTGGGATTTTGAGCACGCAGGCACATGTACCTGGTGTGAGTTTTAAGAAGCCAGGTCCTGGGACCAGTAGTTAGCGTAATGGCTATGTCGCTGGACTCCCACGTAGTCGACCACGGTTCGCGTCCTGGACCTGGTGGCTTAAACTCACGCTGGGCACGTGTGCGTGAGTGTCCAAGATCCCGAGAGGAGAAGGGAGGAGAAAGGATTGCAGCGTGGCCCTGGGGGGTGATTTCTCGCTTTCTGTCTCTCTGTCTCTCTCTGTCTGTCTGGCAAGTGCACGCGCCCTATAGCAAAAACAAACAAACAAACAAACAAACAAAAAACCTCTCCAAGAAGCCAGGTCCTGGCCTTGAACCATATTTGACTATGTGGGAATCCAGTCACCTAACTATTACACTATCTGCTGTTCCTGCACTTCCATATCTCTTTACGCTCATTTGTTCCTCGCAGTGCTCTGAAAAGGTGAGATGAACAGGTCTTAATATTATTTTATTTATTCTACACTCAATTAATTAATAAAGACATTAGGAAACAGATTCCAAAGGAATCTACAGCTAAGTCATTAGATGCTTGTTGGAAATGAAAAATAAACAATCATGGTATGAAAGAAAGAAAATGACCCCAACCCAGGTCATTTTCACCAGACAATGGCCCCTAGCAGAGATACAGTAGGAAGGTGGTAGGGCTAATTATGGCCTTTGCCTCACTGAGTCAGGATCCTCATCTGTGAGACCAGGAGCATCTCTTTACTTTTGAGGGTGTTGTGAAGACAGCATACAATACTAATGCACCTAACACATAAGACCCCTCCAGGAAATCATGGTTATTACCACATCTGACCTCTCAGACCACATGGTAATAACCAGGTGCTCTTGGGAAGTCATTTTACTTTCCTGAGCCTCAGTTTCCTTTTCTAAGAAAACAAAGCATTTGAACTCAGCAACTGCTAAGCTATCTTCCAAATCTTGAGTTCTACCAGTCTGTGACTCTGCCTTTTTAATAAAAATGAATCAGAGTGGAATTCTCTTGCTGATTTTCTACTCACTGTGCATCCCAGAAAGAACTAAACTCGTTTCTGACTCTCCACATCTGCAACATTGGAATAAATAGCGGTGTAGCTTATTGGAAAGGTAAGGCATGTGAGGATACAATGAGGTCGGTGTCCGGCACCTCAACCTCGTAAATTCCTCCAAGATGGAGATTTACAGCGTGTCATACCTACTTGAGAAGGTTGGCCATAGCATTAGAGAAAGGAACTCCTGTAAAGTACCAGGAACGAGACCTGGCACAAAGTAATCATTCACGCGCTGTAAGCATCCAGTGACTCTTATTTTCTTATACCTGCCTACAACCGTTCCGGTGTTCAGTAAACGATCAGAAAACGCAGTTACAGGAAACACATTTGACACACACACGCCCATCAGTGGCTGCGGAGAGATTGCCTGGGTGAACTCTGCGAGATGAACCCCCAGAGGAAAAACTCCTAGCCTGAGTAGACACAGGCGCCCTCGGTGCCTTTAAAACCAGGCGGGAGGCGGAGCCTTAGCCAGGCAGCGGCCAGCGCAGCCCACGGGCTGGGCAGAGCGCCGGGATTGCCTAGCCAGCCTGGCAGCTCTGGCCCTCACCAGGCGGGCGCTGGCCAATCCCGGGCCTGGTTCGAAGGGCCAATCAAGAAGCTTTTTATAGGGGCCGCGGCTAAGGGGCGGGACCAGGCACGGGGTGGGGCTGCAGTCTGGCTGGGGACATCCCTCCAGGGTGGGGTGCACCGTGGTTCGGCGCGCGGTGTGCCCGGCTAACTAAAATGTAATTTCAGATTGGACAAGTAAGTGACCCTCCCACGTGGGTGACAGGGGCTTTTACAAGCACGCAGACTTTCGACTCCCAAGTCCGGGAAGAAGGCTCTCCAACCCGAGAGCGCCCCAGGCCAGTGTCTCCTTCCCCTCAGTCGCTGTTGCCATCTCCCCTTCCTCCTCCTTGGGACTCTGGAATCTCACACCAGCCCTGCTGTGGCTCCTGAGACGTTGTTGAGTCCCCAGTGTCTTCTCCAGGGTGAGGTGTCGGCCCCGCAAGGGACGGGGCAGCCTTTCCTGTCTCCTTATGCTGCCCATGAAACGTCCGGAACAGTGGTCCTTACTCTGTGATCGCTGCCCAGTTAACTAAACTATACTGCCTTCTTTATCCCCATTTTACAACATTTTCGCAGGCATTTTTTGGAGCCTTTTAATTCAAGTCTGACTACCCAAGGCATTGTAAGACCAGTACTGCTTGTAGCTTTAAAGGGTTCCAGTAGTTTGTGATAATAATTGAAGTGTATTTTATAATAGTTTAGATAGGATAATGCTGTTTGGTTACCTTTATCTTGGGTAGGAAGAGCCTAACGAAGTCTTTCCAGTTGAATCCACGCCCCACACAGTGTTGTTATTTCCCCGATCATTGGTTGTTTTCCACTAAAGAACTTAGATCTGAATGCTGATTTCGTCCCTAAATTCAAGGGTCAGTCATGACCAAGATATGAAGACTGTGCTTAGAGTAACTTTACAAGTATGAAATCAGGAGGAGGCAAAGTGATTATATACATGTGGTTATAATTTATGTGGTAGGGATTTACTTTGTTTTATTTTTGCTTGCTTTCACTTCCTTTCTTGTGACGACTTACCAGTATTCCGATTTTTCTCTTTTTAAATTGCTAGATGGTTTTCCAGCCAGATGATAGCCTCCTTGTCTTCTGGGAGTCTCCTGTTAATGCGGCCCTCATGGCCCTCACACTTGGCTCTTGACCCTATGGCCACTGGCCTGGCTCTTGGAGGGACCAGCGGAGGAGGCCTGCCTTATGGGAGGACCTGCCTGAGACTAGTTATTAAGGATGATTAGAAGAAAACAGAAAAGCTGAGAAAGGCTTGGAGACTGATTTTGAGGGGGAGGGAGTTTGGGGACCTCCCCTCCATTTGGAAGTCCATGTATATATTTTGGGAAAAAGGAATAACCCAGAGGGTGGAGCTGTATATCTTTCTGGACGAAATTAGTAAATTTACTGGGAGGAGACTGGCCTTCTTCCAGGTTGTGTGAATTTTTACTGAGTCTTGTCTTTTCTTGGAATTTGGTTCCCTCTCCCTAACCTTTCACTCAGTCCAAATCATAGTCAATTACCAGCTGGTTTTTAAAACAATTCATGGTAGACTCTTGCCCTTAAACTCCCAGCCAGAGTGAGACACTCCCCACGCTATCTATCTCCCTGTGAATTTGAAATGATTATTTTATCAGAACATACTATGGTGATCACTTAACCTTTTACCTGCCCACAGTTTTATACTGGAGGAACATAGAATCAACTCAAGTGTTTTAGGAGGTCATCCCCATTCATATCAGTTCTTTATTCATTCCAATGTTCACTCACCCGTGGCATGTACTTTGGTCCCAGCAATGAGTAGTAGTTTCTGGGAAAATAAAGATTAAGACTCAGTCTCTCCGTTCTAACTTGGATCCTGACTGCTTCAATGCAGCTTGATGAGGGAGGTACTTCACAGTGAGATTGGTATCATGGCAACATAGGCAGAAGGTTCTCAGGAGTTGAGAAAAGTGCAAATGGTCCAGTAAGGGGGTTAGGGTGATGCTACCCAAGCTGAGTTCCAAAGTTTCAATATGAGTGGGCTAGAGGAAGACAACAGGGAAGGGCATCATATGAGCTGGAAATTGCATGTGCACAATTACATGTGCATGGCACGTGGTTGATTAGTGTGGCTGGGGAGGAAAGGGCAAGGTGGGGAGTCACCCAGTAGGAGGCTGGGAAGTGAAAGGGGCCAGATCAGAAATGGCCTGGTGAATCATCTTAAGGGAGTTTGAAATATATCTCCAGAGTAGTCAGTGACACTCAAATTTATGTTTTAGAAGGTTAATTCTGGCTGCAGCATGGAAAATGAAGAGTGTCGTGAAGCCTCAAGAGAGCATATTTTAATAAGACAGGTTAGGGGCAATAGTTATGGGAATGGAGACAGATGAGGAAAATAGAATGGTTAGGAATTAATTACAGGTTGAATGTAGGGAATAAAGAAGCTATATAACAGTCAGGGTGCCTTCAGGAAAGAGAAGGTATTCTCACCTGGGGTATTTTGCAACAGCTTTGTTGAAGAATAATTGACATATAGTCAATTATAATTTAAAGTGCTTAATTTGAGTTTGTCGTATGGATATATCTATGAAAACGTTACCACAATCAAGATAGTATATCTAATGCCCCCTAAGATTTCTTGTGCCTTTTTGGAATTCCTCTAAGTATATCTTCTTGGGTAAAGTATGTATTAAGTCTTTTGTCCATTTAAAGCAATGAACTGTTTTCCTCTGAGTTTTGAAAGGTTCTTTATTACTTTATAAGTTCTCAATCATATGTGATTTGCAGATATTTTCCTCCTATTTTGATGTTTATATTTTCATTCTTCTAACAATGTCTTTTGAAATTAGAGTTCTTGATGATGAAGTGTAACTTATCAATTTGTCATTTTGATGAGGTCAATTTTTTTTTTTTGATGAATCATACTTTTTGGTGTTGTATCTAAGAAATCGTTGCCTAATCTGAAGTCCAAAATATCTGCTCTTAATTTTAAAAGAAGTTTTATTTATTTTGTTTGATTTAATATGAAATCTTCAATCCACTTTGTTAGCTTTTGTATATGGAATGCAATTCATTTTTGAAAAATGTTTATATATGGGTGTCCAATTGTTCCAGCACCATTTGCTGAAAAACCTATGCTTTCTCCATTGAATTGCCTTTGTACTTTTGGTCAAGAATCTATATGTGGGCCATTTCCACATGTTTTATTTTGTTCCATTGACTTGTCTACTTAATGCCAATACCACATAGTCCTGATGAATATGTAGCTTTTAAGTAAATATTGAAGTCAGGTATTATAATTCCTTCAACTTTGTTCTTTTTAAAAGTTGTTGGGAACCAGCAGTTAGCGTAATGACTATGTTGCTGGACTCCCACGTAGTCGACTGTGGTTCGTGTCCCAGACCCGGTGGCTTAAAACTCACGCTGGGCGCGTGTGCGTGCGTGCCCAAGATCCCGAGAGGAGAATGGAGGAGAAGGGATTGCGGCGTGACCATCCCCCCTGGGGCGTGATTTCTCGCTTTCTGTCTCTATGTCTCTCTCTGTCTGTCTGGCGAGCGCACGCGCCCTACAGTGAAAATCTCTCAAAAAAAAAACAAGTTGTTTAGGTAACTCTACATCCTTTGTTTCCATATGGATTTTATAATGTCTGTCCATTTCAAAATATGTACTGGTTTAGATTTTAATTTAATTTGCAGTGCATCTATATATTAATTTGGGGATAATCAACACCTTAAATATTAAGTCTTCTGAACTGTGGACTCAATATACCTCATATTCATTTAGGTCTTTCTTAATTTCTTTCGACAAAGCTTTGTGGCAGTCTGTAGTAGGTCTTACACATTTTTGTCATCTTATTTGTAAGTATTTCATATTTGTTATTATTTATGTAAGTGATATTGTCTTTTAAAATTTCAGTTTATAATTTTTTGTTGTTACTTGTATATTGACCATGAGTCCTGCAGTTTTGCTAAACTGCTTATTAGTTCTAATGTCTTTTTTGTAGATGCCATCAGATTTTCTGTGTAGGTCATCATGTCATCTAAAAATGAAGACCTATTTTCTGCTTTCAAATGAGGACACGTTTTATTTATTTTTCTTCCTATATTGCACTGGTTGGAACCTCTGCCTTGCATAGAAATAATAAGGGCAGACATATTGCCTTGTTCCTGATCTCAGAGAGAGGTATTCATTTTTAAAATATGATGATGATGCCAGTTGTATATTTTTGGTGGAAGCCCTTTATCAGGTTTAGGGAATTTCTTTCTATTTCTAGTTTACTCTGTTTGTGTGTTTTAAATGAATAATCAATGTTATATTTTGTCAGTTTCTTTTTCTGTAACTGTTGAGATCACTATGTTTTTAAAAAGACTTAATATTGGGACCAGCAGTTGGTGTAATGGCTGTGTCGCTGGACTCTCATGTATTTTACTGTGGTTTGAGTCCTGGACCTGGTGGCTTAAAGACATGCTGGGCACTTGTGCATGCGTGCCTAAGATCCTGAGAAGAGAATGGAGGAGAAGGGATTGTGGTGTGGCAGCCCCTGGGAAGGAATTTCTCACTTTCTGTCTCTCTGTCTCTCTCTTTCTGGCAAGTGCATGCACCCTGTAGCAAACATCTCTCAAGAAAAAAAAAAAAAGACTTAATATTGGGTTGTTGGAAAAGTGATGATGTATTTTCTATGTTTTAATATACAAAAATGCGTCATGAATTTTCTGATGACCCAGTATGTGGGAGTGATTTCTCACTTTCCCTCTCTCTCTTTTTTTCCTTCTCTCTCTAGTGGTTGCATGTATCATAGCAAACTGTAACTCCTTATGAAACATACGACTTGCAGTTATTTTATCCCATTCTGTAGGTTGCCTTTTCATTTTGTTGTTTCTTTTGCCGTGTAGAAACTTTTTGGTTTGATGTAATCCCACTTGTTTATGTTTGCTTTTTATATTATGTCTGGGAATTCTTTGTCTTTGTTTTCTTTTAGGAATTTGATGGCTTAAAGTCTTATGTTTACATCTTTAATATATTTTGAATTGATTTTTGTGTATATGATATAAAACAAGAGTCCAGTTGCATTTTTTTTGCATGTGGATATCTAGTTCTCTTAACATTTATTGAAGAAAATTTCAATATGTCTTTCACAATACTTTCCCCATTGTGAATTCTTATTGAAAAAATATCTGTAAAATACATATATAATTGAAAACTTATAAAGTGATAAAGACCTCTCAAAACTCAGTAAGAGGAAAAGAGTTCATTGCTTTAAATGAACAAAAGACTTAATATATAATTTATCTAAGAAGATATACTGAGAGGGATTCCAAAGAGGCATTCAAGAAAGGGAAAAATAATTCACAATTAATCTTTCTTGAAGGTTAATTGACCATGCATATGGCTTATGACTGGGCTCTTTATTCTAGTCCATTGGTCTATATATCTATTTTATGCC